GCAGCTCTATGATTCATGTTAAGTAAATCTCCATTATTCCTATATTTAAACAATACTTAAAATCAACAATGGGTAACATATTATCTAATGCCTTTTCAAATGTATAGAGAGAATAATTTTTTTTACTCTTAATCAATTAATATAATTTAATATACTAACATTTTCAATAATTTTAAGCCATATTTGCTTTCTTGGAATAAACTCAACTGGTGATGAAAATTTTTGTTTTATATTTCTGGTTGCTGTATCCTAATATTTCATTTAGGATTTACATGAATATCAGTAAAGAGTTGGCCATATTTTTCTTTCTTTCCTTTTATTTTTTTTTGTACACTTTTTGTTTTTGGTACACTTTGTTGATTTTGGATGTCAATGTTATGCTCTCTCCACAAACTTAATTTGAGAAGCTTTCCTCTGTCTTCAGTGTTCTGGGACGGTTTAAGTATCACTGGAGAAATCTATTCTTTAAAGATTTGACAAAATTTCCCTATTTTCTGGGGAGGTGGTGGATGTTGGCGGTGGGGATAATGGAATGGAGTAGCTCTAGCTTTTGGACAACTTTCTCTATTTTTTCTATAGTAATTAACCTGTTTCAATTTTTCACTTCCTCTGGGATAAGTTTTCATAACTTACATTTTTATCAAATCTTACCCATTTTGTCCAATTTTTCAAAAAAACTTTTGCATAGATGGGGGAAAAGTGACCTTTTAAGTAGATTTTTATCTTTTAATCTAACCGTGATCCTTTTTCCCTTATCAGTTATTATTTTACAGAGTTGTGCTTTTTTCTTGATTGAGTAAATTTTAAATTTGTCAATTTCATTTCCCCCCTCGCCCCACCCAAAAGAAATCTCTTTGAACTTGTTATTCTGTTTTTCTCTTTTCTAATCAAGTTTTGCTTTTATTGTTACTATTTTCTTATAGTTCTTTTTCTAATTTCTTGATTTGATCATTGAATCAATTTTTTTTCTTTTGTGTTTTTAGTATATTTACTTAAGGCTATGTGTTTTCTTCTGAACACTGACTTAGTCATAATCCACATGTTCTAATGTGTGTTGGTTTCATCATCTCCTTCTTCCACTCTCCCAGGGATGTTTTAGTTGTGATTCCCTGTTTGTACAACTGTTTCGTAAGGACTTTTTAAAATATTGGGATTTATTTTACAAGTCATGTTTCTTTAAATTGGATTCTGATTAAATATTATTGCCTGTATTATTTGTTATTTTGGGATTTGCTACATTTCTTGTTTATATATGCTCTTTTTTGGGGTGTGAATGTTTCATGGGCACTTGGGAACGGTATAGATATCAATTAGTTCTACCTCTGGAATAATTATATTGACGTCTTTTATAGCTTTACTTTATTATGTCAACTTAACTCTATTGTAGATTGAAAGTCCCTAAAATCCCCTATTACCTTGTTTATGGCTATTTTTCCTTGATACCCTGCACTTTTCACTTTATGTACCAATGCCAGGTGTTTGGAGCATTCGTTTTCACGCTATTGTATCTTCCTGCACCTTTATAATTACAAAGTCCTCTTTTTATTCTCATTTATTTTATGCCCTTTTTTGAATTCAATTGCATTTGATATTAAGATCATGATCCCTGCTTTATGTTGTTTATATTTGACTGATATTTTTTGTCTTTAAACTTTATGATTAACTTTGGGCTAAATTTAGGAATCAGCACAGAATTGGATTTTTTAGATCTAATCTGAAATTCTTGTCTTTTACTACCATGAGTTTAGCTCATTCAACTTTATTGTTATGTTTGATCCTAATTCTGTTCTCTTATTTCATGCTATGTTTTTTGCTTCTATTCTTTTTTTTTTTTCTTCTTTTTTTTTTTTTTTTTTTTTTTTTATTGCAGTA